GTGCGCAGAGGATCTATTTATACAAATTTACAACCACAACTCCAAGGCAACCCCCCCAAAGCCTACGGTAGAGCCAACTTACGAATCTTTTCAACTCGCCTCTTTAAACGAAATGAAAGATACTCCAACATGAATCTATTACGGAATTCTTCGAAACCCAGTTTTTCTACATAAATATAGCTTGCCTGAGCGAGATAAGTCTGTGGAGTAACCTGGTAATTATGTTGAAAGTTGGACAAAACTGGCATGGCCTGTGGGTGCTGGTAACCAATAAACTGTAGCTGGTTGGCCGTTGGAGTTACCATTGCTGATGCATATTGAGGCGACTGAGTTCCATTAGATAGCAATTCACAAGGCTGGCCGATATGAGGACGAAGGAACTGACCAGGAAGCCAGAGGTTTGGTGTAACGTTAGAATTCGCGCCATAGGTGGAGGAAGAGCCAATCACAGAAAGACCAGCAGAGCGTCCACCACCATGTGATATAGGATTGGCGGTGCCACCTGGGTACATTGGCCTTGATGAAGCGCCAGTAAAATTGAAAGCTGTCTGATTCACTTGTTGGGGAGGAATATCAGGCTAAAGAGAAGGTTCAAGGTAAATTAAAGTTTACGTATGGAAGATGTGTGGCTAAGGGTCTAGAAAGAGCTATGTTTAACCAAGCTTAAGACTATGAAGATAAGTAAAAGTCAATACTAGTATCAAAAAATAAGCTTTTGAGTAAGGGCTTTAGTCACCTTAGGTAGCTTAAGAAGAAAGACTGAAAAGGAATTTTCCAATAATGAGATAAATAGACCACAAGACGCCATTAAATCCCGCCTAACCCTGAGTCAAAAAAACTCTGGATCAGGATGTAGAAGCCCTTGTGGTGGTGCAATTGGAATCAACTCAGCCTTACTTCGCAAAATATATTATCATCAAGGGTGGATGAAAGGAATTCAATGGCATCCTGAGGTCTATTAACTCATTTATATGAGATTTACTGGTATTCTTGAAACTATAATTATACGAAAAATACTAATCTCATTGTTGGAAAATTCACTAATACCTTAAGTGGCGTAGAGTGATTAAAGCTCTTATCCAAGATATGCTGATAGCTCGGAGTCCCGCTCAAAATAAAATAAATA